TTAATGGGGTCTTATTTATCAGTCATTCATTTATGTATTAACACACTTCATTATTTTTCTGTTCTCAAACATTTAAAACTAAAGAGAACTAAAATAACTGCCCTTTTCCATGTCACAGCTTATTTCGTGCACTTCACTTTCAATGACTTTACTATCCAAAAATTCTTAAATTAGGATTTTGTTACCTCCTTTTTGTTTAATCACCTCTTTTAAGCGTGATTCCATCGAGTTAAACAATTTTCGGGTGACTTTGCTGCAGATTTTTAGCCATTCCTCCAATAGGGCCGTTTTGAGGTCATTTTTATTTTCCGAATGGCCACACCCAATTTCGCCCACAAATTTTCTATAACGGTTAGGTATGACCATTGGGCTAGTGGATTCACCACATTTGGATGGTTCCAGATCAACCAACTGGACAATACCCGATTTATGTTTTCGGTCATTTCGCCACCGCCATAGCTTATAATTGGTTTTAGGTGCTGATCATGGAGCTCGGTATTTGGTGGGTGCCAAACATATTGCATCCAATCCGACGCAAATATATTAAATTACGACTCATCTGCATATATATGTATATTAACGACCTGAAAGTTTAATGAAAAAAGTAAATCCACAAGAAAAGCTATTCAACAATTGAATTTCCATAGTAAGCCCACACTGCTGCCAATGCGTGTTTATGCTTGCATGTGTTTCTGCGAGTGAGCGTGTTTCTTTTGCAAGGAATTATTGTGAAATATCAATTCATCGAAGGGTCCAGGGGATTTCGTAGTCGAGCAGTTTCGACTAGAGCTCTCTAACTTATTTTACTTGCAGCCGTCTCCTATTGGAGGCGTGTGTTAAAGGCTTTAAATTGTTGATGCCACGCCCATTGGGCACATGGTGGGTCTTCTCGGGACCTCACATCTGAAAAGATCAGATTGTGCGACGTGTCAAGTGTCCAAAATTCAATTAGACTTCATTAGCATTAGCAGCCGGTGGCACCTTGCTGTTCGTAGTGTTGTTATGCTTGTTGTTGTTGTTCTTGTCGTATTTGGTGTTGTTGCTGTTGTTCTGTCTGGGGCCGCCTTGTGGCTGTGGCGTGCACAGATTTAACCGTTTGCAGATTAGCATAAATGAGATCATTAAAATGCGCTTACGGTTGTGTGGGCGGGTTGAGTGGTGCCCGTAGCCGACTGTGCGGACGGTGGGTGGGGTGGGGAGTGGTGTAGGTGGTGGGTTTGGCTGCAAGGTGCCATTTCCTTTAGCACGTAGCAGACGCAGCCTGCAAATTGCTTGCCAGTAAGTGTCGCTGCTGTCAAGGTTCGTGTCTTTGCTACTCTCTAAACACACACACACACACACACACACAGAATGATGTGAAATTTGCATAATTATTGTTGGCAGCTTTGGCATTAATGTTTAATATAGCAACTAGCTTAGCTTTTTTTTATTATCTACTATGGCTTAATTGGGCATTACATTTCGTGTAATGAGTGCGTAAACAAGCAAATGCTCGCACGCCCTACAAGGCTGGACAGGTTGGCAGATGAGCAGGTGGGGACTTATTGGGCTTGAGTAGTGGACAATCTAATGGCCGCATACATTAAGATTGAAAGTGATTTACGTCGGCTTTTGCCTTAGCTTTCACTTTTGGCTCCCGTTTTTGGTTTATTATACCCTGAACCCACTGAAAAGGGGAAACAGGGTAGAATGGTTTTGTTGAAATGTATGAAACAGGCAAACGGAGGCGTGGCAGTCCCCACAAAGTATATGCATTCTTGATCAGGGCGGCGAGCTGAGCCGATTTAGCCTTGTCCGTCTGTCTGTCCGTATGCTTGAACGCACCGATCTCAGATAGTATAAGAGCTGGTGACTTGAATTTTTTTTAAATGCCCGTATATTTACCGCGGATATCGAGTTTTTCTCCCAAAATTGATGAATAAATCATCTAATTTTTTTCTCTTTTTCAACTAAAAACGTTGTCTGCAACGTTTTTTATGCTAGATGCGCCAAATTTTAAATGTACTTTGTAGAATTTCGATTTCTATATCCACCCCCTCATCCCTAAGGACAAAGGAGGATTTCAAATACTAGGGATTTGAATCTTGGCAGGGGCATGAATGGAGCTTAATCTGTCTGGAAAGAGCGTTACCTGCGTAAAATCTTTTAACTACTATGTTATGTTACTATTTGGGCTACCATTTGGCATACTTTGGTCCCAGCATTGCCAGCTGTGCCCAGCGACTGAATGTTCTCTGAAAAGGCCACGGAATCAAAGTTATCCATGGGATACAGTTCTCTTCTCCTGATATAATGGCCTTCCGGACCCTAGCATCCTCGACGAGCTCGACGAGCTGCATGCTGGGGACCAGGTAGCAACTGTAGAGCCACAAGTTACCGTAACGAGGGTGTGCGAGCCCATTAAATGACTTAAAATTTGAAAGTACATTCGATGGGTTGCCACATGCCCACAGCACGGTATTGTCATTAGCGTCTGTTGACCATGTCCTAGGGCAGCTGATCTTACAGTGGTGAGGCTCACTGAGGAAGGCTATGTCTATACATTTTTCTCGTATAGTCTGCTCTAAGAGATCTTGGGCAGCAACACAATTATTTTCGTTAAGCTGCAGTAACCTTAACATTTCATTTTAGGCGAAACTATTCGCCTTTCCGGACGCAGAAGCTACATTTTGGAAGCTTGGTGCATGCTTTTGCATTGTGACCCATCTCTCCACATCTGAAACAGGCACCCTTTAAGTGTCAGAAAGACGCGAAGAATGATGGAAATATCAGTTCTTCGAAGGGTTCACGGCTATAATTCAACGTTATCGCATATGAGCAAAGAGTGTCTTAGATATGCTTACATGTTTTCAGTAGAACTTTTTCCTATAAACATTCAACATATTCGCAGATATTAATATACGTTTCATAAGTACTATAAACATAGTAATTCATAAGCAATATTAATTATATTATACACATATATATTACACATATATTATGTTAAATAGTTTATTTCAGACTTGTTTTTTTTTTTGCAAGTTTTTTAAGTTTAGTAAAATGGATAAAATTTTGTAAGTTACTTATAATGGCAATTCATATCTTCAAAGTATTTAGTACATACTAAACACATAGTTGCTATTAGCAAGAAAGCTCTAGTCGAGACGGCCCGACTATGACATTAGAGGGACTGATATTCTTTGCTTTGCTTCTGCATACAAGAGAAACAACATATGCACACCCACACTCGCTCGCATAAGCATGTCTGGTCTGCAATGGGTTGACTATGGGAATTAAGTGTTTAATAACAATTTTTGTAGATTTGCTATCTCCATAAAACTTTCAGACCGTAAGTATATCATTCACATTTGTGTAGTTGCTTTTCAAATCTCTCAACTTAAATCGTCGTCCTGATCAGGAATATATATAATTTATGGGTTCTGCCACGACTCTCTTGCCATGTTACATACATTTAACAAAATTTCAATCATTTCTTTCTGCTTACACAAAAACACACACACACGCACACACACACACCACACACGTAGACACACGCACACAAGCACCCACGCATAAACACGCATGGGCTGCAGTGTGCGCTTACTATGAGAAATTAATTGTTTAATAACATTTCTTGTGGATATACTATCTTCGTTAAACTTTCAGATCGTGATTATAACGATGAAATTTAATTTGTTAAAGCACAAGTCTCTAGAATTTGAAATACGTTTCTTACAAATTTAGGGGTGAGGGGGGATATAAGGGGGAAAATGTATTACGGATTTTCGCTATTGATCGATAACAAAATAACAGGACAAATTATCGATTTTTGAAATACGCCGCTTACAAATATATGGGTGAGGGGGTGGATAGGGGGGGGGGGGGGGAATGAATTATAACAAAAATCGAAATTCTATAAAGTACATATGAATCTACATTTAAAATTTGGAGACTCTAGCCCTATAGATGTAGGAGATATAATTTTATAGCTGATTTTCGATAAGGTTTTTTATCGATAAAGAAATAACGGGATCAGTTATTGATTTTTGGTGATAAACTCGATATCCGCGCTATATATACGGACATTAAAAAATATATATATATTGAAATCTCTAGCTCTTATATCTTCTGATACCGTCGCCCTTATCAAGAATATAAGTATATATATGAGGTCAGCCACGCCCCCTTCTGCCTGTTACATACATTTCAATAAAACCCTTATACCATTATAATTAACTAAAATGACCTAGATTGATAAGCTGTCGATTTATATAGTATGTGAATTCATATGTGGGCAAGGTCAATCCATAAGAAGTTTAAGTTTTCAACTCAATGCCCAATGAGTCAGTCGTCATAAATTATGATTCCCCTCTAGGTATAGCTGTAGAGCAATGAGAGAGCTAGTACAGAAAAATAATAATTGATGTTGATTATATTTCGTGTATAAATCAAACAATCCACAACTTGCTATAACGCCTGCCAAACAACCGACGTCTGTGCATAAACACTGAGATTTATGTACAGACATGCATCGAAATAAATATGTAAATGAATATATGAATATGTACGTATATAGGTACGTGTGCATGCAAATATAGAGTCTAGTTAATTGGCCTGTCATAAACCTGTTGCTATTGCAAGTTTTTCGCCGAAGCGCAGTTGAGGTTGGATGCCAGCTTTCAATGGGGCATGCAGCAGCCCGTATATGTGGGCCACACACACCGGCGTGTGTGTGTATGTGAGTGTTGCATGCAGCTTTTGACTGTGTTGTAAAACCCTTCTTGCCCGCCAAACGAGCTAATTTTGATGATATCCACAGACAGTCGTTGAGTTTTGGTCCATTTTGACAGGGAGATTCACTGTGGTTGTTGTTGTTGCTGTTGTTGTTGTTGTTGCTACCACTGCTGTTGCTGCTGCTGCTGTGTGGGTGAAGTTTGCACTAAAAGCCTGTCGCAGCCTGCAAATTGAATCAGCGCATATGTGTGTGGGTGTGTGTGTGTGTGTGTGTGTGTGTGCGTGTGCCTGCCCAGAGGGCGACGTGCGCGCTCTCATGAAATGTGACCGCAATTGCGGTTCGTTAGCTGCATTTCAGCTAGTCCACATGGTCCACCCGGCAATGGAGCCACACAGACACACTTACACATACACTTACATAAGTGAGCGAGACTGAGTTGAGGCCATGTTGCACGAGCAGGTGGCAAACGTGCATGGCCCGCCGAAAATAAACCCGAAATGGGCGCGCCAGGTACAATGCAAAAGCATTGTGCTTAAGTGGTCAACTGACCAAAAGCACTTTGACCATGCGGTCCTCGTGGCCGCCGCGCTCAGTTAGCTCTTTAAATTGTCGCTGCCGGTCTTTATTATTTATGACAGAATGCCCAGTATCAAAATGGCAATGGCCAAGGATTTCAATGGCACTTAGCGGCAATTAGAAGCAGATATAGCTCACACACACACACACGCGCGCACACACACCTGTTGTAGCCGCAATCACAACGAGCCTGTGTATGTGTGTGTGTGTTGCTCTTTGTCAGCGTCTGGGATTTGCGCGCCAGCGAACGGCATCAAATGTGGCAGCCGAGTCAAGGTAATTACGACAAAGACGCATATCCTCCTAGGCACATCCGGCCAGGCACGCACAAAAGCACACAAAAACTTGTAGCCACCCCGCCCTCCTGCCCTCCTGTCCTCCTGCTCTCCGGCCCGCTTCGCTCTGACCTGACTTTTCAACGCCGTCTAAAACGTGACAAGCATTGCGATTTAGCGACCAGTTTAAAGGCTCGAAGGACATGTCGCCAGATATATGTATTTATATCTATGTACATATATATGTCTGTGTGATTGCGGGGCCTTAACAGCCTGACCTACTCATGAGTGCCAAATGAGTTGTTAGACCAAAACTACAGACGGCTCTCCAGAGGAGTTTGGCCCAAGGCAAGGAGTTCGCCTGCCTCATCCGCAGACTGTTGCGTGCTGCCCTTGTCAGCGGGCTGTGAGGGGGTGCGATGGGTGCGAGGAGGTGCGTGGACGTACGCCTGGCTTTTGTTGGCTAACTAAATATTGTTAGGCAAAGTAAACGACATTGTAGACATTGGCAAGCGACCGACAGGGCCCCAATCTGTGGCCAGAGGCGTAGTTGGTCATGTTTTGTGCGGTTTGCCCCTGCTTAGTAGGACGCTTCAAGTTTTTGAAAACTATTTGCTGCTGATATTGAAACTGTGCAGAAATCTATCTTACATAGGAGATAGATAGCACTTTGAGTGCAGATCAAAGTAAAGAGTCCACAGACATACAATGCAATGTAAAAAATTTTATTTTAATTTAATGCAATTTAAATATAATTTAATGCAATTTATAATAATTGCATAACTATTTCTCGAATATGATTATATAATAGTTCGAGCGAAATTGCTGTATACATATGTACACGGGATCAGACTAACAAGTAGGCAGCTGGCTGGGGCCCCTGACAAGTGAAAAATTTTAAAATAAAACAGGGTGCAAGAAAAATATAGCTACAGCTGAAAATAATTTAGCAAATAAATTAACTCCGGGTTAATCTGCCCATGTATGTAAGTATATATATGTTGATATTATTATTTTTGCTATCTATTTTTTTTTTATAATCAGTCAATCAATCAATAAAATACTTTAAATAATTTTGCATATTTAATTACATTTAATAGTTAAAAATGAATACAAATATAATTCTTACTATTTCGATTACTTTGCCAGATAATATAATATTGACTATCAATTAAGTTTCCGTTTCAATTTTCCAACGCCCCCCTTTCCATTGGATTTTCATGGTAAGCCCATGCCTTCCGCTGTGGTATATCCCACACGGAGCCCTAATAGCGTGCCTCAAATACAACGGCGTATCCATTGAAGTCGTCATCCTGTCATGGGTGCAGCTGCCGTTTATTATGAGTTTCCTTTTTACCGCTATTTCAGCTTCTCTTTTTTATACTCATTCACGAAAGTAAAATGAGTATACATATTGTTTTTGTGCAATTTTTGTCCGTATGAACGCAGTTTATTTCGGCGCTATTGAAGCTAGAGAGTTGAAATTTGGATGACATACTCGTGTATATCTCCGATATATAACGTGATAAGTTATAAATCGGATAAAACTGTATCTCCCAGAGCACGTGAGCTGATGTTATGATTCTATAAAGACTGACGAAATTATATGTCTACACCAAATAGGAGCAAGGCAAATCTGACCTAAAGATATAGTGGTTTTTTAAATGATGCTATATTTTCGGCACTTTCGATGCTAGAGACCTGAAATTTGGTATATATACGCTGCTTGGCCACTCAAGTCCAAAGAGCTTGATATATGTCCGCCCAAAAGGGGGTGTGGCAAGCCCCAAAAGCGTATATTCCCTACAGCTTAAGAGCTAGAAGCTTCAAATTTGAATAGTTGAGTTACCAGTAACCCCTACCTCTATCAATGACCCAATGACTGTAATGCCTTTTAGGGGCGTGGCATATCGAAAAAAAATGTAATTTTCACATTTTTTAGCAAAGGCATCCAAAACTTTTCAGTAGGGGGCGTCACAAATTGGGAAAACTCCATTTTCTACAGTATTAGAGCGAAACTTAGCTACTAAATTGCTGATAGGATGTGAATGAGTATTCTGCAGTTGGTAACACCCGACTGCAACGTTCTTACTTTTTTTGCAATTCACTTTAACCTGAGCACAGGATCCAATGTCTTAGACGCTACGCTGCAGCTTGGCCGCACTGCAGCTGCGGCATAGACAAACACACACACACATACCAAGAGAGGCATATATAAAATACACAGCTAAAGGTATTTTTGGCTCATGTCCTGATATCCTGGCTTAATGCTGGCTGTCTTGACTCTCTGTTGACACAAGCTGCTCATTAACTTTTTACGCTTAATGTGTTTTTCTAATGATTGTTAAATTGCGTCTCCGATTTCAAATTTTTCGGTTTCAGCATTGTGCAATATTTGGACGCGTTTCCTCGTTTGCTATCTCCAGCGACTGAGCGACTGGGCGAGTGGGCGAATGGACCCTTACTGGAGAACCTGGCATAACGCGAATTTCAGCCATCCACTTGGCCATCCAGTACTAAAAAGCGGCTCATTAGCGACGCATGTGCAGCTGTTTGTCTATCAGCCGCTGTCTGGCTCTGGCTCTGTCTGTCTGTTCGTGTGTATGTGTGCATTTTGGGTGTTTGACTGTATCCATATTAAATTACAGTTGGGGTAACAGCAGCAAAACGGACGAACACAGTCCAGAATGCAATAATTAAAGTTCAATAACAACAATCTGTTAGCCAGTATTCAATCCGGACTCTGTCTTATATTTGCCTCGATATACCTCTGGAAAATTTTATATCTTTGGGGTATGTCGGTTGTGCTTGGCATATATTATCATATAATAGATTGACTTATGATACAATGTAATGAATAAGTAAATATGTACATATAACTATATATACATACATATATATTACATATATAAAAAAAGTAATAAAAAGTATTTGTAAATGTTTTAATGTATTTCGAATGGAGTATTTAAATATGTATGTAATTATAGCTGAAATGTTTTTTATTTATTTAAAAGTTAAGTTAAGTTAATTCACTTTTTTCCTTTTAATCTTTAAAGTTGTGAATGTTTTATAGTGCCTTTAAATATCAATTATAATTTTAAAGAAATTGAAAATATTATCATATATCATATATCATATATCATATATCATATATCATGTATCATATATCATATATCATATATCATATATCATATATCATATATCATATATCATATATCATATATCATATATCATATATCATATATTGGCAATATTGTTATTTAAGTTTTATATAGTATATAAGTGTTTATAACACAGTATTTCGTGAGTGTGCGATATATCTGTAGCTCAACCTGCTTTTAACTTGCACTTATGGCTTGCTTACTTATCCGGCGCTTTTGGAGGCAGAGTGGCATTGTTTGCCATACTCACACACACCGACAAGCGCAGTCGCACACGTATGCTCATGGCATTGCATGCAATCGCATCACGCATACGACGCGCTGTACACTTTGCCACTTCTTTGGGCGCTGCAGCAACGTTTTGTGTGACTGACAAATTTAATTACTGCCGGATTCATGTCTGCTGTGTGTGTGAGCCACTGAGCGTGCGTACGAGTGTGTGTGGGTGTGTGTGTGTGCGTGCGGAAAAGTGTTGTTTGCACCGCTACTGATATGGCAACAGGGTCAGSAGCAGCAGCAGGATCAGGGCCAGTTGCAGTAGCAGACACTGACTGTGAGCTGTGAGCACCCCAACCAACCCTGAAGTCACTTCATTTGATGCGTCAATCAGCACAATCAAAAACTGCAGCCCATGAAAATCAATTAAAAAGCCGTTGACATTCCGCCCATGCCCAGGCTCTGGCCAATGGGCTGCTCATTGGATTGTGTGCAGCAAGGGCCGCTGTGACTGGACACTGGATGTTGTCCGGGTAGATGCTGTCAACAGCGCTGAACGTTTTGCAATCGACGCTGCCTGGATTAACATTTATATTTCAGCAGGCCCGGCTCCTGTTCGGCTCACAATGTGAGTCCACTTGTTTTTTCCCGCTCTTTGTTGCCTTTGGTTTGATATTTCTCCGGGGTGTAGTAATTCATTTGAAATGCAAATTCCTTTATAGCGGATATAACAACAACACACTTGCAAAACAAATCAAAGGCGTCATTCAGCGGCAACATGATGCGGCACTTTCGATTCTTCTCTGTGTGGCTCTGACACAATCACAAGTGCTCGAATCGTAGATGGAGGCGGAGTTGGAGTTGGAGTTGGAGTTGAAGCTGGTGAGGTCAGCGTATTGCATAGTTAATTGCTGGACGCGCTGAGTTGACGAATTACTTATACATACATACATGCATGGAGAAAGTAAAAGAGAAATAAACAAGAACCGGAGGCAGCGCCATTTAATAAATGAAATGTCATTGAGGCGTGCGGCAATCAACAAAACAAAAATCCAAACGGATTTAACACCACCCGGCGCAAATGACGCATGAGTAGGCTATGAAATTGTTGATGGTGCGAAGGCAACTGTGAATCAACGCACTGCAGCCTGATTGACTGACTGAGTGATTGACTGACTGAATGACTGACTGACTGACTGACTGACTGGAGAGACTCATTGCCTGACTGACCAGGCAAGGCTAACTGACAGCGTCTGAGTGAGCGCTGAGCTCGCTTTATCTGCGTTGGGGCACACACACAGACATACACGCACATACACACGTACACACCAACACAGACACACACACGCACGCCACTTGTCTGCAAAGCGCTTCAGGTCGGTTATCAACGACATTTGTTTACTCTCAACTGTTAAAGTCTCATCTGAAACGACTTTCTTTTTCAGTGTAATTGAGACTAATTTAAATAAAAACCAATACGATTATTATTATTATATTATAATTCATAACATGTAATATATAACCTGATCTTGACATTTTAAGTTAAGCATTTGCTTAATCTAGTTAAACATTAATCGCGGACATAGCTTTATTGAACAAGTAGTATTCGAACACCCTACTGGGATAGCATATTCGTATAAAAAAAGGAGAACAACTGCAACTGCAACTGGCCCAGCTTCAGCTGCTGCAGCAATAGCCACTGGACATGCCCCGGGGCAGAAGTGGTAGTGGTCGTGCCGGAGCGGGAGGCGGAGGCGGTATCACTGTAGCTGCAGCCACTGCTGCTGCGTCAGCTGCAACTGATGACATTGTCAGACAGCAAGGCGCACCCCGGGCTATAAAGGGACTAACAAGCCTGACAGTCACTCAGCGTCAGTCAGGCTCCGGGCTGGCTGTCGGCCGGGACGTTGTGCAAATTAAAAGTTTGGCCCACACTTGACACGTGCTTAGAGCTTGCAGTGCCGCCTCTGCCGCACATTGGTGCAATGTCCAGTGGCTCTTTTTTTCAGCATGTTTGCGGCTTGTGGCAGCGTTTTGTGCTCTCTGTTGTTCAGTTTTTTCTTCAGTTTTTCAGCTTTTATCAGTCAAGGCGATGGGCCGGTCGGAGCGGAAGCATGACGGGCACTGGGGGCTGCCAGATGAAATTTATGAGACCGAGCCGAAACGTCAACTTGCGTGCAGCTGCATAAACTTGTTGCATATGTGCAGGCGTCGCCGCCTGACAAAAGGTGCACCCTCTGCGGACCCACTAGATGGCCCTCTCGACTGACCAAATGTGAATAGACCCTACTAAGAGAAATTTCCATTGCTAAAAAAATAAATAGATAAATAAACCGTTTTGGAAGGATAACTATCAATTTCGTTAAAATAATATATATGAACTTCTCCAGAGGTCTACTTTTTGTAACTTGCGGTTGTTATCACTATAATTGAAGCGTTTTCAAGACTGAATAAGTGCCCGCATGCATTACCATGTTTCATGATACTATGTAAAAAGATCTGGAGTAAAATGTAATGTCGATCAGAATTTGTGATTCAAATCGAATGATAATATAAATGATATGAAATGAATAACAAATTAATTTGCTTTAATGAAAAGCTGACAAAATTAATGTTATTAATGTTACAAAAAATGTACAAATTCATATTCGAAAAATTGTGGATATAATTCGTCAGTTGAAGCGCTTCACTTCACGCAAGCGAATGGAAGGAACACCTGTTGATGACATATAGAAACAGACGTCATTTTCACTTTCGCACATGCTGCATGCAATAATTTAAGCAGTTTAAATAAGTTTAACAATACAATTGTATGGCGTAGACGTAGTTATGGAATAATTATATTTATTTGAAGTAGGAATTCGAATAACTATATAAACAGAATGTATTTCTTAACATAATAAATATTTTTCTTGTTATAGAAAATCAATCTATATCATTTATAAGAGAAGATAGATTAGAGGTTATAAATAATCCACTTTTGGAGACTGCTTCCATATGCACCAAGAAACGAACAAAATTATATTTTATTCTATCAACAATTCGATATTCAAGAATAGTTTTTCTAGATCACATCCCTGCAAAAAGTATATTAAAATTTGTGTCATTGTCTCTCCGAAATAAGTCTAAAATCAAAAGCACTTGATGCTCATAAAAAGAGTTTAGACCAAATAATGAATGAAGTAACTTACGGATTGCATTGACCTGTACGGAACGCCAAATAGATTAATAGAGACTGATTTCTTACGAATGGATGACAAAGGTGAATGGATAATACGTATATGAAATTAATATAAAGAATAGCGCAGAGATAACGGAGGATGAATAAGCCAAGTACACTATACGAGCTATAGCAATTAAATCACTTAGGACCAAGTCTAGTTCCAAGGCACGGTAGCTTCCAAACCAGATTTCCTTCTTTTCCCTTCATGAAGTAAAAATAAAAAGGCACTACAAACCTGGAATCCAAATAAATTTTGATGCCTTTCGAATAAAAGTAATTAGAATAACAACTTATTTACGATTTCTCAGTGAGTCAACTAGTAGCTCATCCTCTAGAATGAAGTTCAGATACTCGTTGAAGTGATAGACTAGTTTGTTCACAGACAGCCTTAGCGTCTCCGAGAGCACACTAAGTGTGTGGCATGGCTCTTGTTGACGCCGTTCCAGCAGCTCGAGAAGATCGGCGATCTGCTTTTCCAGCCCGATGAGGGCATAGAAGATCATTGCCAGATCCTGTTGCAGCGAGCCGTGTTTGTCCTCCTTCAATGAGCGTACGCATATAGAGACGAGTCCCGGAATCAGCCAGGCCAATGGCCGGCCCACGCACACCTCGCAGTCCTCCTTATCCGTTCTCATAAGCTGCTTGGCGTCGACAGGTAAGCAGTTGCAAAACCATTGAACCTGCTCCGACAGCTGACAGTTTCGGAGCTGCTGTTGCAGTTTTTCCAATAGAGATAGGAAAGGGATCTTCTGCGGCTCTGGCCCCTGTTCCTCGCTTTCGCAACGCCTACTCCAATGACTTGGAGCTGGTGCAGGTGGCGCAAGGAGTCGCATGTTGGGATGGCAGCGCGTACTCTGTTGCTTAGGTTTAGGCTGCGTCTGCCTCGCTAGGCATTCGTTCAGCAACTGCGTAAACTGCGTAATGTTGCTCATGAGGGCATTGCGCAACGCCCTCCAGTTTTTGGGCCTTTTCCGCAAGATGCCCCACAGCTGGAATAGTTCACTTAGCTCGTAGCCGGGTGCGGACGCGATCATGTAAAAGTCCCTGGCTGCCTGCAGCCTGAACCCATGCAGCTGATTATCCGCTCTCAGAGCCAGGCACATGGGGAGTCCACGATCCTGCGCCTGTTGGGACTGCAGTGATGGCAGCTCCTGTTGCTTCTGAAAAGTAAGCGGCAGCTCCTCATGCATCACAGTGCTAAAGATGCATTTGATGGCATTCAGCTTGACAGTGATCAGCGTGACCATGCAGCTGGATAGGCAGAGCAGCTGGCAGCTGGCACTGTGGTCGCCGCTCATGTTGGGCCAGAAGAGGGCGGCGAAGCCAATCGTATAGAGCAGGGATCGGGGTAGAGTACGACCTAGGTCGAAGTGATGGCAGTACAGCCACTGCCACGTGGCAGTCTCCAGTCGTATCAGGGGCAGTGGCCACACCTCGTTGCCGAAGCGCAAGTGCTCAGTCAGAAAGTAGACAAGCCCACACAAGACGCCGTTCTTCCGCAGATAGTGCCCGATGAAGCTGACATCCACATCAGCATTCAGATCGACCATATACTTCAGGTAGAACCAGCTGCTCCAGTAGCCCAGGCTCATCAGAATTGCCAGCAGACAGAGCTTAATCAGCAGCTCCTCCTGCAGGCGCTGTAGCCGCCAGTTGTGGCAGCTGGGCAGCTGCTCGTGCAAGCGGATCAGCAGCAGGCTGTAGGCGACCATGTGAATGCCCAGCACCTGGATGCGTGCCACTGCGCGAAAGGAAAACAGAATCTGGTCCAGCCACTCGAGCAGCCAGTTCACTGGATTGCTGAGTCCTATTCGCTGGTAGATCACAAAAAATGTCAACAGTTGATACTCGGTCAGGTAGCAGAGCCAGGTGGCGAAGAGGTAGCGATTCAGCAATAGTCTAGCCAGCCTCGAATCAGGCGCATTGAGCTCATACGGTAAAATATTGGGCATTTTTTGATTAAACAGTTTTTATAACGCCTAAAATTCGAAGTATATATTGGTTGCCCTGTTTGAAAATATTATGGAAATCCATTCGTTTTTTAAAGTATTTTAAGTATTGGCGAATGTGATAAATGAAGCCTACTACGCCGGGTCTTAATATTTTAAGGGCAAGCTTGTTTAGAATCGGCATGCCTAATGTGGGTCATGTGCGCCGTTGGGTCAATTGTGCTGACACTGTGCAGAGACCCTTACTGATCTACATTCAGGTGGACACTCAAATTATTGCCATTTTGACAATTAATAAAATTCAAAACGCAGAATGATTTTGAATACGCTCCATACAATTTTTGGGCCGGCAGGAGGTATGATGTAGTCAGTGTCGCCCGAATTACATATTCTATGTACCAAGTGCAGGAGCTGCATTAAATTTGTATAAACTGCAGCGTTTGTAATATATTTAGTTTATTTGTGGCAAACGCCCGCTGTTATTTCTTTTTAATTTTCGCAACGCTAGAAACTGATTTTAATATTATTTTTGCCGCGCAGTTTTGCAAGCATTGCAAAACAAATTTTTTGTTAGGCAAAGTTATAAACATGGAATTGCATAATTTTGAGGTATAATTTGAAAACCCAACTGGCTCCCTTTTAAGCCCGCATTCCATTTGCAGAGAGGCGAGAGAAAGCATGAGTAAGGGTGGGGACGTAGATGGGGCTTTAGGCTGTCCGTTAGTGACATAGGGCGGTAGGCTGAGGGAGTGGGGAGTGGGTAGTGAGAGAGGGAGAGGAAAAGGGCTTTCGTTGGCACTTAACCCGTTCACAAGTCACATTTGTTTTTGTTGCCTGCGCATTGGATCGCGCTGCGTTGCTTTTTTTCAGCGCATGTTGAGCGTAAATGCTTCTACCTTGTAAACTAGGCAACTAGGCAGGGAATTCAGGTCTATTCATAGAGAAATCGAAACTCTTTATAAATAATTTGAATAGAAATGCAAACAGACAAGACGATGTAAGAATATACAAAATCGGTTAAATATTTTAAAAAATTGTTCATGAAACAATTCAATTGTTATTATTGTAATATATTATATAGGAATTTGCTTGGTGATTCATAATACATGCTTTTAAGACAGCTGATTTGAGTTCTGATTTTAATGGGTAAGCCGCTCTTCGTCACGAATTTTAGGTTTCAGGGCTTCGGCCTATTTGTTTGCTGGCTCTGTTGGGGTTTATAGTTGTCAACAAAAATATCACTTGTTTGCATGAAAATCTCAGCCGGTGGAGGTGGACTGGGGGAGGTTGGTTACTCTTAACTCACTGAATTGTGAATGCTATGGAGGGGAGGTGGGTTACTCTTAACTCACTGAATTGTGAATGCTGAGTGGTGCCCATGGCGCCCACATATGTTTGGTGTCATTCACGATGTCGCAGTGAAGCGATGATAAAGGGGAACAAAACCTTGCAACAAAAATAGCAAACGCGTGCGGAATTGAGCAATTTTTATGAATAGCAATAGTCACAAATGGAGTGGGCGGCAAGTTAACAACCATGCCTTCCGCACACATGCACATGCACACGCACACTTTGACACAGACAGTTAGTGTGGCCAGGCCGTTAGTTCATCTGTCAAGCGCTGGACTGGGAGCGTGCTTGACAGTTTGACGCCCCGTAATTCATGGCAGGATGAACGCCAACTGCAAAGCCCCATTTTTTGTCCACATATTGTTGTGTTGTTGCTGTTCTTTTGCTGACATTTTACATATGACGAGGAAGGGCTACAGCATATGTTGGCATTTTAAAAGAGGTGGGAGCGAGTTTTTCTGTTCTGCTGGAAATGAAATTAAACTTATTAAAAATGTTGCTAATTTCATTTCGCTCGCACATCAAATCCAATTTCATCAAATGAGCTGCTCCTGGCAAAAAAGGATGCAAAATTAAAAATAAAATACGAAAACGGCTACAGAAATATTGGCAAAGGGTTTTCCTGCTCATAATTTATTACCTGCAGTCGGACAACTTAATTATTCGCTTAACGTAATTATACGAAGCGAAAAATCGAAGCACAAATTGCGCAAATGACAAACGCAGTCAGAAACACGAACAGAATTACGTCGATTGCAGCCACTCTTTGGGAATGCCCTTACACTCATTTAAAATTCACGTTTGGCATGTCTAATTGGAATGCTGCAATGAAACACTTTATAATATTAACATTTGAATTGTTGATCAAGTATTATTTGATTCCGAATTGAAACTTTATAAAATAGATTAGTAATAATAATATTAAATATATTATAAAAAACAGAAAAAATGTTCCTAAATTATTTTAGCTACTCCCACTCATTATGTAGAATTATATTTAAATTTAAATGTAACTGATTACTGTTGTAATAGTGACATAACATAGAAGTTAAGCGCTCCGACACTAGAGTACTAGTGATTGGGGACGCTGTGTTGGGTTCTTGTGAATATATAACAACTTAGTGTTACAAGAAATAATATATTTTATATAATTTGGAACAATGGGTCTAAACTCTCTCTAGTCCGAATATAAACTGAACTAACTGAACTGGGTTCTCCCCTTGAATGTCTGACTTGACTCTCCAGCCTCCTTAGATTGACGATAGTCTTAAATTAGATGGTAACAACCTGTAAAAGCAGAGCGATTCACTTAATTTTCAGTTACTCTACCTGTTACAAGCTGGTCATTAAAATCATTATGCCGATAATACAGTAGGATAATCAAAAAGTTCCGTCAAGGCAGACGACGCGTCGCTGGCGCTTTGCAAAATTTGCTGTCCATTCATAAAAGCGATAATTGAGTCGACAGCGCCGCCGACTGCACCGCAAAGCATTGACCGCAGCGCGTTTTTATTCAGCTGCGTAATGGCCGCGTCGACAACTGTCCCAAGCTCCCAGCACCCCCGCTCTCCCCATACCTAGATCCGTCCATTTCCCTTATCAGATCTGGGTGCCCCCGTTGCAAGGGAAAAGCGGCTGCAACTGCGAGTTGAACTAATTTAATTAATTGAATTCATTTGGCGACGCTGCCACCGACCAAAACTGTTTGTGTGCGAGCGAGACAGAGAGGGGGAGAAGGAGCATGTGTGTACAACACCAAATTAACGGTGCAATTGCCGCCTACCGCTCTAACCCTACACAGTAGTTACCTTCCCGAATTCAGGCGTTTGTAATGCGCGTGAAAGAGCGCATTTTTGGTTTCTCGGTTTGGTTTTGGGTTCTTTGAGACTGAGGCTGCCATTTTTATCTATCTTTAGCTGGTAATACCTGGTAATACCAGTTGCAGCATCAGTTAACTGAAGCGCGGCTGTGTTAGCGCTATAGCCAGGGCAGCATCTGCGCCGTGCTCAAAACACGAGCTGGGGCCAGATAAAGCTGTAGCTGAAAAGAATTTAGCTAAATTGAGATTTATTCCGAAAGTATATATATTGTATATACATATATTTCTATATACAATAATATATTTGATTAAGATTTTATTTACATTGCTATTTAAAGCAACTTAAATAAATTCAGATAAAAGGGTATTTGTTTAAAAAATTTGAAGTTTAACACATAAGTTAATTTTGTTGTCAATCAATAATATTTTATTTTTATTCTTATTATGCATTTAGAGCTATTCATTTGTATTCGACCAAAAAGTTGCCTGCATCTTAATTGAATTATGATTATTTTGCAATTCACTTAATGAATGAATCCTGTTGAATTCTCTCTCTTTCTCTCTCTCTCTCCCCCTCTATTAATGACTGCGCTTCCAACATCTGTATACCGTGGCATCTAGTTACTCTGCCAGGATTCCAAATTGGAAATAATTGCAATCAGTGGCCAGACGGCGGCGAAACCATTGTGGCTATTCCAAATTAGCGAATCGCCTTCCACCTGCAGCTCGAATTATGCGGGTCGAGGTCTCGAATTGAACGCGGCTATCAAAAGAGTTTCCCAGTTTACAGCATTTTCACTTTTAGCTGCCATTAGAAACAGCTTTAATGGAATTTGTTTTTTTTTGTTTTGTTTTGTTTTGGGACTGCATTGAACCGTTAAACTTTTGCATGCGTCTTCAAACAAGTTACACGCATAAGTGTTTATGTTGATGGTTTGAAAATACCCTGTACTGAGACGTGGAAGAATATTTGTATACCCTGAACCCATTGAAAATAGGAAATCAGGGTATAATGGTTTTGTTGAAATGTATGTAACAGGCAGAAGGAGGCGTGGCAGATCTCACAAAGTATATAAATTCTTGATCAAGGTGACGAGTTGATTCGATTTAGTCCTGTCCGTCTGTCTGTCTGTATGTATGAACGCGTCGATTTCAGAAGATATAAGAGCTAGAGACTTCAATTTTTTTAAATGTCCGTATATATAGCGCGGAGATCGAGCTTTTCACAAAAATCGATAACTGATCCCGTTATTTCCTTATCGATAAGAAACCTTTTCGAAAATCAGTTTTAAAATTATATCTCCCACATCTTTAGAGTTAGAGTCTACAAATTTTAAATGTAGATTCATATGCACTTTATAGAATTTCGATTTTTTAAATATTTTCCCCGCCTTATATCCTCCCGCTCACACCTAAATTTATAAAAAGCGTATTTCAAATAACTATAATCTTAGCTCATTATGCAAATCTTTGGCTTTAATGATTGAAGTATATTAAAAAGCACAAATCAGGGCATATATCCTTTTTTATAGATTACAAATTTTAATTTGCTTTATTCACAAAGACGTCAAGAAAATATATTAGGGAGTAAGTTGAATCCAATAGTTAACATTTTCTATTTATTAAAATATATTCATACATGAGTCCACTATTTTTCGAAACAGCAATCTAATTTACATGGAGTTGAGTGCTCAAAAACGTAAACTTAACATTATTTTGCGACCATAAGTATTACGGCTTTTTACAGGGTAGTCCAATTCCAGCGGTGTTGTTGCTTAACGTGCACGCAGCTTTAATTATCATATTCCCCTAACGTCAACTTGATTAAAATTCAATACGAAAATTGATGGCATTGTTCTAAACATTGATGAGGCAGGCATACGGACTGCTGGATG